ATCCCCAGGTCCACCCCTCGGTCCCCTCCGTCCCCCTTCACAACCATCCCCCCACCCCTCCTTTAACCTTCCTTTGCCCCCACCGGAAAGTGGACATATTTTTCCCCATCTGTAACTTTATTAGGTTTTCCCTATAAATAACCTAGCCTAACCTAATCATACTACTAAAGTACCCAAATAAACACATACTGAATGTCATCGAATCTATTTTTGCATAAGGATTGGAATTAAGAGACGTTTTTTCCACCTAAAGATGAATTTAGTCAGTTTCTTGATATAAATAATTAGAACAGTACTTACAATGTTGATGAAATTAGATTGAATAGCTTTACAATATCTTCTCGGAGGATCTTGATCATTTTCTCTTACTTCCGTTTACTACCATCTAGTATTTTTCTTTTCTGGTTATTATTTTTTTCTAATCGTTTGCGAGTTTGTGAACTAATAGTTACCTTACATGGTAGTTCGATCACCAATATTCCCAGAGAGATTTTGTGTGAATTCTCTCCCTCAGCAGGAGTGGATGAGGCACTAAGCTAGTCTGTCATATTGAGGACCCAGGGTACCAGTGTAGTGCCACAGATTCTACTGCCCAGGCCCTCAACATAACAGGTAAAGTGTAGACCCTGAGCCACTCCTACCCGGGTCCTCAACAAGAATGGTGACCCGGGCCTCCCGCTACGCAGCGTTAAACACTTTTACCGTCGTGTACCATGAGATAAATAGCTTAGATGCCTGGAGCAGAAAATACCACATTGTTTCTTCTCGCCATTTCTTTTAACGGGAGTTCGTGTAATGAACACATTATTGTCTTCAGCTCAAAGGAGGGAAGGTTTATGGCCAGGATTAAAAGAAGAGCCGCGATTACATTGCCGGGCCAACACCAGCAGCACAAACACACGATGGCACCTCAAGTTTTCATTGATTTCAGGTGACGATTCATAGCTGCTGAGGCAGACGGCTTCTGCTTTTATTTCTAAATATCGTATTTGTGAATCTTCTTTCCTTGTGGTTATCAGCATATACCGAGATCACGCGCACCTACAGTGATTTACTTGCATATATATATATATATATATATATATATATATATATATATATATATATATATATATATATATATATATATATATATATATATATATATATATATATATATATATATATATATATATATATGCGCTTATATCTTCAATTTGTTTTAACTGTAGAAAGCGACTGTGGTTCCTCCAGCACAAACACAATACTGCCACAGTGTTGTGGGAGCTGCTGGAAAAGTGTTAATAGCTTCCCTGTCAGGAGAGTTTCCGATAAACAACGAGTTCTGACGAATCATGTGGTCGGTGGAGCGTCGCATCAGAAACAGTGGAGCTCCATCCCCTCCAGCCCAACCATGAAATTTGTGCTGCACCGACGTTCAGGAAAAACATGTCTGTTAGGGATATGACTGGTGTGCAAGTGTAGCCTTCACTGTTTTACTCACAGTATGAAGACTAGATGTTTATATAAAGTGACTTTGACCATTATTAACCTTTCACGATGTTGATGGAAACTGGATGAGGATGGTCTCGACCCATAAAGTTGATTTGCTTCTGCTCAGGAGGTTATTAGTGTCTTTTTCTGGTGTAAAATTGCTGGTCCCTCCCTCTAATAGACAACAATGAGGAGAGAGAGAAACCAATCACAGGCAAAACTACCATTGTTGCAGTTGTTTGTTGACAGATGTCCTCACTGATTTGACACAATACGTCTTTGTTATCGCAATAATTGTATTAATTTCAAGCAGCTGGGAAAAGTGACACATGACGGATTGGCGTAATTTGTTAAATCAACATTTCAATTAACATCCAACGTTGTGACAGGAACCCATCCAGTGTCCGCCATCACTGTGGTTCAGGTAATGGTCTCATTAACAGGTGAATGACGGCTCGGGGCAGATCACATTCTAGATCCTTATAACAAACTGTATATTGTGTATTTATACCAGTGAACCCCTAAACAAGATTGATAACACAGTTTTCCATTACAACAGAAAATTTCCTCTTCGACTGCCCATATATATTACTGGTACAGACAAGATAAGCCACGACTCTTAACACGGCACCACAAACATTTTAAACACGTAATAGCAATCGACGGAAACTTCTTGATAATGAATCACTTGAAGGAAAGAAAAATCAATTTATGAAAAGGGACGAAACACCTAATGTGGTAGGAAGGTGTGAGGGGTCGGGTGGTCCACAGTCCTGCCACACGGTCAGTTGGCTTGCCTTGTGGCGTGTTGGTCTCTATCATAAACGCCAGTATAAGTTTATCTTAAGTTTTTGGTGCAGTTAACGATTTTTTTCAATAGCAAATTTAGTCATCCACGTTCTCGTCATTTTGTGGAGTCAACCCAGCGAGTGTCTGAGGCAAAGCTGTCGAGAATTTTAATAACCATCTTGACTTCAGCTTCTATTTACTATAACCTGGAGGTAAATAATGATTATATTACATACACGTTTATATTTAAAGATAATAAACATGTACATTTCCTGGTTATATTTGATATCAGTGTTATTATAAATATTTCTCAGGAAACTCAGTAAGACTTTCTAATAAAACTAATTCAGAATCTTCATTGTTGTCTACCTATGGGTCTTACATATCGATGGCTCCTGAATACTAATTTTATAGGAATTATTTAGACGTTTAGGACAAAAGGAATAAACTGATGAAATATTTACTTTTTATAATAATGATAACTAAGTGAAATATATGTTGGTTGGTTATCCACGATGACTTATTGTGTTGTTAGTAAAGATTATTCTGTATTTATTTGATTTATATAGCGAAAATACCAGTAAATCTAAAGTTAGGAAGATTCAGAGTCGTAATACCACCCATGGGACAGTTCCTCCTAACAGAATCCTTGATCATATTTATGGCATAAGAGAAATATCGACGGCGTATTCCAGTAGTTACTGTTTTTCATGTTGATGTCAGGGGTGTGGAGGACAGGAATGGATGGTGTACTTGTGTCTGTTGCCTGAGAGGGACGAGTTGAGTACGATGGGTAAATTGGACTCGAGTATAAGGGAAGCTTGTATGAGGTATGTGAGATTAACGTCTGAGCCTCTCCCCTTCTTTTGGTTTTTTTTGGGACTGGAAAATGAGGGATAAGGAGACCTGATACTTTCACCTTATAGTACCATCAGCTGGTTCTTATAAACATGAGTGATCAATAGTAAAAGAAAACCTAACCTAACCTAACCTAACTTAAAACCAAACCTGTATTCATGTGGTACACTTACAAGCTACCTTAATTATGAATAGTGAGATTAAATATTCAACTAAATCAGTAATAACAAGTGAATGAAGATTTAAAAGATGAAATGACTGTCAGTAGTTTGTAATGATTAAATAAATATATCTAAAGAAGAACATAACATTCTCTTGCCCCGTACACGCTCGAGCTTCCTCCACCTCCGCCTGGGATCGCACCAAACCATCTTGTTCGTTGGCCTCATTCACTGACCGAACCCCACTTAAGCTCACTAAACGATCTCATTCAACCTAATTACTCATGGAAGATGGTAATTAATTTCCTTTGCCCTTACTCATCGATCTTATACGGTAATCAATACAGGTAAGCGGCCTCTCATACATTACTCACGTCTCCGGCCTCACCGTATAACAGCACCTATATATATAAACAATTTCCTAGTACATACATCCACCTTCACCCTGCAGCCTTACCAGTTAACCTTACCCACTGTCCTTAAATATCCTGCTGAGAGAATATTACTGATTTTTATGATTAACAAGAGATTAATTTTTAATCCTTTACTTTAGAGAAACAATATTATAAGAGATGATTTATTTCTCATTTTTACAAACCATTTCACATTGTATTGCAGAATAAAGTTGAGAGTAATCTTGGTTCATTCCTTGTGTCATCATTCCACACTCAGAAGTCACGGATCGTAAACAAGATGGGGAGAGGCTCTTTGCATCGTGAAGAGTCGTAAAAACTCACTGTTGGTAGAATAGTTCTCCTTGACTTTCCATCTTAAGAAAAAGAGGATTATCCGTCATTATATAAATTATCCGTAGTATAGTATCATCAAATATCGTCCTTTTCAGTATAGACATGAAGAGCGTCATGTACAGTATAGTCATTACTGGTGACTATGTTATATTCTGTCACAACCGGTGATTATAAAAGTTACCTCTAAGATACTGTGTGATAGATATTCGCTTCCTTATTACAATAATGACTTTACTCCAGGAACATGTTCATAAACGGAACACAAATACAAAAGTTATATACGAGAATAATTTGAAGCCGATGACAAAATTACCTGATCCTTGAAGATTTCCCACTACAAGACAATAACACCCCCCCCCCTCCTCCACACAGTCTTATGGCAAATAAATCTGGAGCCGATAATCCTGATACTAATGGGGACTTTATACTGTGAACTATTAGTCGGATCATACAAACACTTTAGACCCTGCTAAGGAATAACTGATAAAAATTGTAATCATATTTCAATACGTCCAGAGTAAGTGAGAGGCCGACAGGAGCATATTTGAATTCCCTTCTGCAGGTTATTCATCACGTCCGACAGCTTTGGTATTGAGAAGGCCTTCCAATTTATCTCGATTTGCTGTGTAAGACAAACAGTGTTCACGAATAGAGTGTAAGAGGAGTGTATGTCCTTCTTTCTACCCCACTTACCTTATTCACTTAAGACACATCTCCTCTGCCTTAGTCCTGTTGGCTAGTAATATAAGTGTCCACTTTATGCGTGTAAGTCAGGTGCACCGCAGGAGGCCAGGTACTGTAGATCAGGTACAGAATAGGAGGCCAGGTAATGTAGGTCAGGTACACCGCAGGAGGCCAGGTACTGTAGATCAGGTACAGAATAGGAAGCCAGGTAGGTCAGGTACACCGCAGGAGGCCAGGTACTGTAGATCAGGTACAGAATAGGAAGCCAGGTAGGTCAGGTACTCACCACACATGCCGGCGTAGCGCTCCTGCACCTGTTGATTGAGGATACAGGCGGTGCGGGTCAGCTCACACTCGCTGCTGTAATCGGTGCCGTCAGAGCCGCAGACAGGACGGCGAGCACCATCCTGGAGGCACTGAGAACGGCACTTGCACTCCGGCTCGCCCTCCTCCGTCAACACACACTCAGCCCCTGAACGGCACTCGACGCCATCACAAGGTTGCGACGCCACCTCTGTCATGGAGATAAACACGTGGTTAATATATATATAATAATGTTACCTTTCATAACCAAATATAGTCGCCACACGTCACCGAGGTACCATTGCCACCTCATCATCGTTACCCCACACCACCAAGGTACCATTGCCACCTCATCATCGTTACCACACAACCTATCCTCTGCGCTCACCTTCTGTCATTGGTATACAACAGCATAATTACCCAGCCCACAGGGAAAGGCTCAGAGAGCTTTGGACGGATGCATGACACAGATGCCAGCAGCTATGTTCCTGTCACTACCACACTACACTCTGCTCCTAATGCTGTTATCCACTTAATTAAATGTGCCTCCCTAAAGACTGCTTCTGGTTCACTTTGGTACAAATACAATAAATATATAATAACTTGAGCGAGCCCGTGTGTGTTCCGGGAGGGGGGGGGGGAGACAGACCTAAATAATTCTGCCATTGACCAGGAAGTAGTTCAGTATTGTAAAATATCCCCACAATTATTTACCTTAAAATTCTGGATAAGTTTTTCGTTTTATTTTTATGAATTTGAGAATATGTTTTAAGTAAAATCCGATATATAACAAAAATACTTGTTCCCCCGTGTTGTTTTCCCTGTTCAGCTACGGCGGCCATATTAATGACGTCATCGTAGGTACTGGTAACAGTTTCCGGGTTACTGTACATCAAATAATAATCCGACGCTTCTTAAATCTCTAGTTTTTTTATGTAGTTATTTCCCGTGAACCGCTGTGAAGCAAGTGATGTACACGTGTCTCTTCAGTTGGAAAACTATAATAACTTGATTGGAATTATGATCTTGGCAATTTATATTATACAGTAAATGAAAGTTAGAAAAACTTTTTGATTTGGTTCAAGTATCGAAATGATATTTAAAGTTCAAAATATCATACTTAATAAGGTTTGGTCCTTTGTGTGTGTTAGAGACTGTTACCCACACACTCACCAGTGCCTTGCAAGTCAATAGGTGTTCCACAGGTAACACAGTGACATTAATTAACATCATCTACTCTAGTGTGCATTGCAACTGGATGACGAGATGCACCCGAGTAGATATACAGGTTATCACTTGTGTAGTAACAACAACAGTGCTCTCAGCTACTGTACACGCACTACTGACTCACTCTGTACACTCGCACAACTATCGGCGTTCTGACTCACGCTTGTACCGAGGCTGAAATTTCTGTCATAAACCTGTTAAAGGATTATCACTGGTCATTATATTCTGGTGGTAAGAATTGATCTGGAGGCGGGAGATGTAACCAAGGTTTAAAGTGGTTGACGGGATCTTGTCTGGGTTTGGTTATCTGGCCGTAGTAGTCACGTGGTGTTACAGAGATGAAGAAATTCTCAAAAATATATTCGGGTATAGACCAGCGAGATTTTTCAGATAATAAAGAAATACAACTGTCGAGGGCGATTGACTTGACAAACAGATGTGTATTGATTCCAAGCGAAAGTAAAAACAAGAAATATAAATCGGAAAAAGGGAAGAGCTTATCCATTCTGTCCGTTCTATCTCCGACAAGACATAGGCAACGTAATTAGTAGGAAGAAGACAAAGATTTAGAAGACGAATGTGTTCTCTATCCTAACTATGGTGACCTTTACTATGTGGTCAGGGTTCTCTCGGAGGCAAGGACCAGCGACACCCCCCTCCCTTCCTCCCCACCCCAAAAGAGAGAGAGAGAGAGAGAGAGAGAGATAAGAATTGGGGTGGATGTGACCAGTTAAAAGAAACGGAGGAAGGGAGGATATTGAGGGGATAGAAATAGCGGGAGGAGTTAAGATTAAACGAAAAAACAAATAATGTTCGTGAGGGTCAGGAATTAAACTTGGATGCTTAATCATTTGCTCAAAATCGTTAAGTAAAAAAAAAAAATGTTTCTCTCCTCCATCTGGATTATCTAAGGTAGAGTCGTGTCTTTCATCGCGGTGTACAGATATAAAGGTTAAATCGTCTGGATGTGAGGGGTAATGTCTGGTAGCAAATGGTTAAGAATTTGAAGACTCTCACACAGTAGGGGCAGTTAGGTGAAGAGATACAAATTAAAAGAACGATTATGGAAAGTAAAGTCATTTGCAGCCAACTGGCATTGACTGTAGGTAATCCAAGGTACATGGGGCGAGCAATTGGAGGAAGTGATTCAATAAAGATGAAATGAAGCTGACGAGAGGCATTCTTATACATTTGGATTTTAGAGAAAACGTCAGATGAAGTCCCACGCAGGAAAGATTAGAATGGAGACTGAATGTTACAGAAATGTGAGGGGAGAGAGTTTGGTGGTAGGGCGGAGCTAGAGTCATCACTACCTCCTGCGGAGTCCACCCTCTTTACGCTGGAGGAGTCAGTTCAATTCTCAAAGATTCTTAGTACCTCATTCGGGGAAGAACCCAGGGTCGTGACTGCGGGCTGATCTCTCTTGTTTTAAATGATTAAGTGTTGGTGCTAGGAGCTGCATGTTGAATGGCAGCAAAATGAAGACGATGGTGGATGACTTCGTACCCTAGAGTACTAACGGGAAGCCCAAGCCTGGAGTACGTGTGGGAATGGTGATGAACTGCACTCGTGAGTACGTCAATGTAATGCCATTGAGTCTTATACTGTTACGTTCTCGTCGACCAATCTATCGTCTTGTCAGTATCATGCCTTCCAGTGCTGTATCATCACGTTCGTCGTCGACTAATAAAACATGTCATGAAGGTAATGCCAACTAGCCTCTCATTGTCACGTCCCTCGCTGACTCGCACCCAAGAGACGATGAGACCCATCCTCTCTACCACAGCTGGAAGTTCATCTTCACTACACGGTAAACAATATCACGTCTTTGTATCGCGAACCGTAGTTTAGTTTATCATAATATGTGTTGATTCAAGGAAAAGAAAGTAGTCGCAATGAACACATTTGCACCTAAAGTAATATATTATTCCTATAAAAGCAGACGAATGGTTTAAGTTCCCATTCCCAGCAGAAACCACCATTGTTTTCTTTGAGAGCTAAATCTCCAATGAGAGAGCTAAATCTCCTTTTCCCTCTTCAGTAAGGAGACTTAATCCTCTTAGCGCATTTACGAAGATCACAATGACTGGCGAAGAAAGTTGGGCCCCTCAGGATACTTTTAATTAACAGGCGGGGAAGGCAGAGAGGTGGGCGAGATGGAACTAATACCAGGAGGACGCCCAGGGGACCAGTGGCTCGCCTGGCTCCCTCCTCCCCCAGGTTATCACATCCTCCCTGACACATGACCAAACTTATGACCATCGTGGCTAACTTGTGCCCCTCTCATATAAGATCACTGGAATCCTTTTTATTGCTTTATAACTCTTATTTATATTATTCATTTACTTTGTTTACTATTTTTGTCTTTATTTTTGTTTAGTGAAATGAAAATGGTACAAAGTTAGAATATGTTCATAGACGTCCTTTTTATTGCTTTATAACTCTTATTTATATTATTCATTTACTTTGTTTACTATTTTTGTCTTTATTTTTGTTTAGTGAAATGAAAATGGTACAAAGTTAGAATATGTTCATAGACGTGGAAAGGGTAACTTGAATTACTCTCTTATTTCTTCTGTTGGAACATTGACTTTATCATATTTTTTAATAACATCAATAACAACAACAACAATATTAATAAAAACAACAACAACCTAACTCAATTACTATGAACAAGTATCTAATAGCTTCTGTATACGATGTCATGAGGGGAACTTGAGGATTTGCTCTGAATTTTGAAATATGTGTGAGCTTAGTTCGTTTTCGTAGCTATGGATGTTAAAAGCGCATCAACTGCAGTAGGTAGTCTGTTATCCTGCAGTGTAAAAAAAAAAGAAAAAAGCGATTGTGTTGTAAATATAATCTGTAAATCTATAATATTTTCTAAAGTCTTCCATGTGGCCTGTGTGTACATTTTACCACTGGTTGTTAGGTTGCAGGAGTGTGTACGATATTAATTCCGGAAAAAAATACGAAAATATCCAAGTTTTAATTTTTTTTTACAAACTCCACCAATTATGTTCTAAATTTCAGGTATTGAAGGTGGTTTAATTTATAATAGCATACCTGTATATCCAGGTATTACCATCAATTTATCTGGCTTGTTACACATAACCACATAATTAGGATGACGCTAACCTCACCTCACCTAACATAACTTAACCTAACCTAACCTAACCTAGTGTCAATAATTGCATGTGTCACGTGTGCTGTATGACACAAGGCAACATAAGAGTAAAAATGTCTAGAGAGGATAAACCAAATTTTATTATTAAATCTATTCAAAATATGGAACAGGAAATTCTGACGCCCAAATTGAATGAACTTTTCAAAGAATCTGGATTAATCTCTCTCTCCCCCTCCCCCCCTCATCTCCCCGTACATATATCCTTTGAAGGTCACCCGCCCCTCATCCTGTGTGCTCGACTTACAATACACCAACAATATAGGTATTTTCTCGGTAAGTGAGCAACGTACACTACAAACTTTTATTTTTATTTTATTTTTTTACTTCTGAGTTTTAATTTGGTCTTCAATATTAATTTTAACTCTTGTGAATTGTTATTTATACTTTAAGGTACTTTAAATGCTCTTAATTTATTTCTCCCAATGAGCAGTTTTTTTTTACAGTAATTTTAGTTAGTATGTTACAAATATATGTTCATTAGGATGATTTTTTGCCATTTACTGTTGCAATAAATTAAATATAACTTTTTTTGCCAGGAAAAGTACAAACGGTCAACTGAATGTTTTATAACTGTGAGTCTAACATTCATTGATTACTCAGAACCGTATGGTGGTTGACTCGACACATTGGTATTATGGACTCGATTGTAACTTAGCGACTCGGTCTGAAAATTCATGAGTTTTGTTGACCAAACATTGATTAGTAAAGTTATATATGTTTACACTTTATCAGGTGACCGTAATTATCTCCACCTGACTCAGCTTAATGTTAGTTAATGTAATTCTACCTAT